TTACAGCAGTGACATAGTCATTGAAGAAGAAGAAGAGCCCTTGAGGGCCTTTCTTTTGGTTTCACTGGTACACATCCTTATCCATATCTCGAGGAATGGTGCATCAAGGGATGACTGGTGCAGGCTCCTGGCCAAATAGAGGGGATGGCCCCATGTCCTGTGTTCCTTTCTCCTCCCATAAATAAATAAAGAACAAAATAATTTGAAGCCCCTCACATGAGTATGACAGGCCTGTGTGATGATTACCATAGCAGATGGACCACTATAAAGCAATAATACCTTCCAAGTCACTATCCCATATGTCTATAGAACTGTTGGTAAGTGTTTTAGTGGTCAATGTCAAGTTACTGTTGCATCTATTTAAGTTCTCATCATGGATTTTTCCCAGTGAAGACATTCCTTGTACACCATTTAAAACAAGACAGATGCTGGTTTAAGTGCAGTCTTTGGGCTTAATAACCAAGTAATTAATTGTTTTCTTCTTTATAAGTTTGAGTTAATAGTTGTCTCCTCCATGCTAGAAGAACCTGAGATCTTCATGGAACCGATTTCTTATTGAGCTAACTGGAGAGAAGCTTCAATGGAGTGAGCATTATGATCTTTACTGGCTCTCCTAAGTAACACTGCATCCAATATGATGATAGGATCAGATGGGTGATGATCCTGCAGAGACCCAGAAGAGACACCTTAGCCAGCACAAGCTGTGGCAACAATCAAGGACCTGCTGCTACCCCAAAAAGCCTCTGTTCTTCGTGTCTGAGTGGTGCCAAAATAGCTTCAACTGCTCTGGACGAAAAGGTAGATGAAAACAAAGCCCTGCTGTGCCTTTTCCCTGCTCCTTTTTCGCCAGCTTTAGGCTCTGGCAGCCACAGCTGCAGTTCTTAAACCGGACTCCCTCAAACAAAGGCAAAAGATGGCCAGGCAAAAGCCGCCTCAATAGCAAGAAAGAAGCAAGTTTGTCTTGAAACTTGCGCAATTCTGTGGTCAGTGAAGGCAGAGAGGTTACACATTGAAATATCCCCTCTTTGACCGAATGCGAAGCTGTAAACAGCAACACATCAGCATTTTGTGCTTCAGAAAGAGAGAGAAATCTTCGGATACAGTGGAAAAGATTGCAGGGTAATAGTTCTTATTTGCTTCATAGCTGGCGACGGATACAGAGGAGAACAGAGGGAGTACATTGCCACACGTCCCCTTAGAACAAGTCCTAAGGAAGGGAAGAAGACTTGAGACTCCACTACTGCAACAGACGCTTCGCGTTGATCTCTTCCGTTGTGCATGCGAAGCGGAGAGTGCAGAGCAGCAATGATGTCGAGGATTAATAGCGCGCTTTGGACGGAAGACGGTGGAGACGAAGGCGACGCGGCCTTGTGGTCGCGAGCAAACGCCTCGAGCTCCAAGGGAGGAGGAATGGGAGCGAGCAAGGAGGACGAGCTCGGCCTCACCAGCTTCAAGTCCCTGCTCGAGGACGACTGGTACGCGGCCCTTGCCGCCTCCTGCCCCGGGCAGTGCGCCGCCGCCACCCACCCCTTCGAGGCTTTCCTGGCCCAGCAGGACCTCAAAGACGTCGCCTTTCTCTCCAATCCCTCGCCTCACGAGGCCTTGCTGCCGCCGTCCGTCGGGAACCTCGACCAAAGCCAGCCCTTTTTCCCGTCGAAAGCTGCCCTTTCATCTCTCCTCAACGCTGCGAACCCTCTCGACGCTGGGCATGGTCTTGGGAGCGATATCCCGGGGTTCCTTCCGGCAGCCCAGGCGTCAAATTTCCCCGTCGTGATGAACAGAAAAGGTGACGGCCCTGCAGCTGCCATGCTTGGCGTCGTTGGAATCGGAACTTATGGGCAACTTGGTCGTCCCGAGCTCCACTCCGGAAGCCAATTATTCGGCGGCCGTCTGCCGCCTCCGGCCGAGAACTGCTCCAGTTCAAGCTCAGACGCCGCCATGTTCCCTCTTAGCTTCGACAACTTTGAGAATTCTCCGTTCCTCAACCGGGCCAAGGAGTTGAGGCCCTTGGAGATGTTCCCTACGGTCGGTGCGCCGCCCACTCTGTTCCAGAAGCGAACAGCGGCCGCTTTGCAGCAAAACTCAGCGGTGGCTGCAGAAAAAGGCGGCATTTTGGGTCCGTGGGCCTTGAAAGGCAGCTTCCAGGGGAGCAGTAGTACGGCTGTATTGGAGGGGGAAAACGAGAGAAAGAGGAAAGGGAACGAGGAGGATGATGTAGATGACGATGGCATTTATGGCTCCGGCTTAAACTATGATTCTGGCGACGCTTCGGGAGAGAATGCCAAAGGCGAGGAGAACGCCAAGACCGAAGCCGACGGTGGCGGAGGAAACAACTCGAATGCTGATCTCATGGTGACAGGAGGAGGAATGGACAAGGGAAAGAAGAAGTGTTTCCCGGCAAAGAATCTGATGGCGGAGAGGAGGAGGAGGAAGAAGCTCAACGACAGGCTTTACATGCTTAGATCCGTCGTCCCAAAGATCAGCAAGGTGAGAAATATATGCTTCCAGTTCTTCCAAATCTCTACCTTTCAGGTACTTTTGCTTTGTGTGCCATTACTGGATGTTTAATGGGTGAACATTTAGAGACAAACAAGCTTACATGAATGCTTCACTCTTTACAATAGTTTAGCCATAATAAATTGATTTGTAGAGCCGATGGTTATGATCTGAAGTTGTTCAGAGTCACACGATAAATGCTTATTTTCTTGTGAACAAGTAGGAATTAGTATAATTTGCAGTTACTGTGAAGTTTTCGTAGTTTTAGATTCATCGAGGTGCGAGTAGGTCAACATTTAGAGACAAAAAATATATACATGAATGCATCTATTTTTATGATGGTTTAGCCATATCAAATTGATTCATACTTCATAGAGATGATGGTTATGATCTGAAGTTATACTTTGTGCTAGTTGCTCGTTTTTACTGCTAGCAGTGGCACTTATAACAGGTTCTTCGGCAGCTATTCACCGCCAAGCTTCATACCGAGGAAACTGATAACTGGTTCTTTGTAATTTTACCATTTCTCTAAAGATGTGCAATAATTATATCCTTGTTGTTCTTACAGATGGATAGAGCTTCCATTCTCGGCGATGCGGTTGAGTACCTGAAGGAACTTCTCCAAAGGATCAATGACCTTCAAAATGAACTCGAATCAACCCCTTCCAGCTCTTCGCTGCCTACTACGACCACGACAAGCTTGCACACCATGATTCCCACATTCTCCGCTCTACCATGCCATATGAAGGATGAACTCTGCCCGAGTTCATTACAGAGTCCAAATAGTCAGTCAGCGAGAGTTAGTACCAACAGATTATTCCTTAATTCTTTTATATATGAACTAAATAAAATACATATGACTTTTCCTATTTCTTGGGATTCAGTGGATGCTTCAATTTATATTCTTCAGCATGGTTTAGCGAAATCTAATGCAATTTGGTCTGGTTGAACATGGAACACATAATTGCATCTTTTGATGGACTGCAGTTGAGTCTGCTAAAAGAAAAAAGAAATTACATGTGGCTTTTTTGTAGGTTGAAGTTAGGGCAAAGGAAGGTCGAGCAGTTAACATTCATATGTTTTGTGCCCGTCGACCTGGTCTACTGCTCTCCGCTATGAGAGCACTCGACGGCCTCGGGCTTGACATTCAGCAAGCTGTCATCAGCTGCTTCAATGGATTTGCACTGGATATTTTCCAGGCTGAGGTAAGTGTTGATTCAAAGACACCACCACACTAGAAAAAATGCATTATGCATATAGCTGAAATATCTCTCATTTTGTCGGATAAAGCCTCATTTGAATGCCCTTCCTCCTTTTCAGCAATGCAAAGAGCCGGGTGTTCTACCAGAAGATATCAAAACTGTGCTTTTGCACTCACTAGGTTTTCAAAGTACAATGTAGTGAACGATTCAGGTGCGATCAGCAACTGCTTGAACTCCTTTGCTGCTAGGCTGAGGATCTAGTAGTCCCTTTTCTATATCCAGTATCAGGAATCTATATCAGCAGTTTTCGTAATCTAAGGATGGAATCTTCCGGTCCTTAATTGCATAGCTTAGTACCTACTACAGAGTCACTCTTTTTAATTCAGGAGATCTTATCAGTTGCAATCCAAGGTGGAGCTTCTGGTCCTTTGGCATCTAGATTGCACATATATCGCCCTTTTATTTCATATCATTAACCCTTTTTCTTTTGACTAACAATCTCATGCACCTATTTCCTCTATTTGGAGCACACAATCATGTATCTAGTTGCATCAACAACTTCACATTTATATTGTGTGGTTCTTGGTTATCTGTTCCCTGTCTGTCAACCGGCTAGAATCTTTCAGTCATAGGATAATTTCCAGTTCCCCGTGATAAATCTTTCATATTGCATCTGCTTAATGTTCGATATAAACATGCCGATGGATACATATTCTGATCTACATAACTTGATGACCTACCGGTGGTCATCAGTTGCATGGTTTATATTCTTATCTGCTTAGTCTTGGGTAGTTCTTCCCTTGAAAACTAGTTCAAAAGCACTACTACAGGGTGAATATTTTTATATTTTCATTTGCTGCACCTCATGGTTTCCAAAACTGGATGATCTTTTCCAAGGAGAAGAGGTATTGTTCCATTGCATAATTTTGGCTTGGAAGTTCTGGGCCTCTTCTTCTCCATCTTTGCTTCAATGATCATGCACCTCATTGAATTCATCTGATGTTCATCTCCAGCTCACTTGCCCCTGTCACTGGACTCCCCTGCTTCTGTCATCCATTATGTACATGTTTCTATTCTTCTTGAACTCCTATTTGGACAGGTTATATCCAATGGTAGTCCTTTCTACTGCAGAGGAATCTCAAGAGAAACAATAGTTGTCTCCCACATCAGACAACAATTGGGTTACTTGGCTCTTCTTAATCTCACTGTTCAAAATATTGAAGTGATGTTTAGCACAATATACCTTAATATGTTGTTGAAGCTGTCATGCTACAAGACAATGAGATAGTAGTAGTAAGGTAGTGAATTCAAATGGGCAATCATACTACAGTTATCTGTGTAGATTAGATAACATATATTCAATTACATTCTTAATAATGAAAACAAAAAAAAACAGGAAATACTCACTACCATTGAGAAGCTTAGCAAATGCCACAAATAATTTAGTCTACAGACTCAAATTGGGGCAAATTCCACATCAAGTAGGGTTCCATGTGTCACAAGCAAGAAGAAGATACATTCTTTTTCATGGTCTCTTTGGAAGTGAAAGATGGGTAAACCACCTGTTCCATCATCGAAAAAGGGGAACTGGAACCAAATTGCTACCAAGAACCCTAGATGCCAAGTGTCTGCAGATCTCATAGCTTCCGGAATTATGATTTCTTGCACCCCATACATTCAAAAGAGAAAGATCCAAGCTTTAGCGGATCTCTGGACATCATCTTCCAAGCCCCACAATAGATCCAAAGAAGCAAACTTTGCAGAGGAGTCTCAACGAGAACATGAGAGAATTTGGAGGAATCGCGCCGTGAAACACACAAGGAACGGTTCAAGAACTCAGAAGGAGACCAAACCTTCGTACCTTCTCTGCAAATTGCAATTGGGACTTGAAGGAATCACGTTGTAGAATACAAGAAACACCTTTCAATAACTCAAGAGGAGACCAAACCCTCGAACCTTATCAACGGATTGCGGGGCGGGACTCGACGGGATCACGCAGTCAGCACAAGAAACGCGACCACGCCCTCGTACCTTTTCCGAGGAATCCGGGTGAGACATGAAGAGATCATCACAGTAGAACGTGGGAGATCTTAAAGAACTCAAGGAGATCAAATCAGGAATCCATTCCCGGTGCGACTTGTAGGAATTACTCAGTAAACACAAGAAATCGTACCTGCTCTGCGAAGTCCGGATGCAACTTGAAGGAATTACGCAGTGTAACACGAAATGCTCTAAAGAACTCAGAGGAGACAAAACCCCCCAATCTTCGCTGCAAATCCAGGGAGGGAATTGAAGGAATCACGCACTAGAACACAAGAAACGCTCTCAAAAAACCCTCGTCCCGACTCCGCGAATTCCGGGTGGGACTTAAAGGGATCAACCAGTAGAGCACAAGAAACGCTTTCATGTACTCAAGAGGAGATCAAAAGCTCGTACCTTCTGTTAGAATTCAGACCCTTCTCGTGATCCGCCACCTCCGAGCGACAGCAGAAGCGGTCGCTTCCCAGAGTTGGGAGGGAAAGGCAACCGTAGCTCCAGAATGTATGTGTCCCGAGAGAGCGAGAGAGAGAGAGAGGGGAGCCGAACCCAACTCGATCAAATTGTGGAGTTCGCGTCGGTCGAACAAAGCTCGACCCAACCAATTAAGCAATTACGAACTTAAATCATATACGAGGAATTATCACGCGTCATGCGCACGGCAAAGCACCAAAAAATTATATATATATATATATATATATATATATATATATATATATATATATTACTGTCGAATAGGGATGAGCTAATGATTAATCCTTCATTACTATCATTAAATAATAAGACTAATTTAAGTTTTGTTCTGTGGTAATGACCAACTAAGATGTATAATGTCTTAAGTAAGATTATCTAACAGGATATAACAACAACAATCAGCCATATTGTCTGAATTATTTAGTTATAAGAATCTATAATACATAATATTTTTGGTTAAATTAAAAATATTTAAAATCTAGCAAAATTTTATTAGCTCTTCATTTACATCTCTTCATACTACTAATATTACTAGTCTTGAAAATTTTAATTATATTGCTTTGGATCATTTAGCATATATCTATAATGTCTTAGATAATTCTGGCTTATTTTTTTTCTTTGTCAAATCTAAATCTAATTATTCATGAAAAAACTATTATTTTTTATTATAACTATATAAATCTATCTTAACATTTTTATCTTAATGATATAAATACTATATATATATGAATTCTTAATGATCCCATGCCATATCTATAACTTAGATTTCATAAGAATATTACAGGGAATGCTATCGATACAATTTTAATATGATGATGATTAAAATCGACGTAAATTTAATATGAAAGAAGAACCTTGATTATAATTAAGAAAACAATTGTAAACTTTTGGATTAGAGTATCGATCCATTGTTGTGTTGATTTCATGATTCAATGTATTCTCCATTTTAGACACGATAATCTCAAATAAGATAATTCTTTTTTGTGTGTAAGTCATAGGATTGTCAGGATAGAATCGAAGGATGACTTTGTTGATTCTTAAGATTCATTAAAGTCTTCGCTCTCATTGGGACTCATTAGACGCAAACATCCACTTATTTGACTATAAACATCCCCGATAATCTCACATGGAACGTTGTTTTCATGCTTGGAATACGAACAGGATTTGAACCAGAAGTCAACGGAGACTTCATCGGCTGGCTGACTCACTCACATACCAACAATGTCGAACTCGAAACCTTTCTGAAACTCGTGACCCACACAACATGTAGGTGGCGAAAGGGTTTCAACCTTCTACATATCATTGATCTAAACCTCACACGTTCGAGGCATTATTGTTGGAATCTCATTCAACATCTTCTTTTGATGATTCAAATGCAATTTTGACAATCTCGTATAAAATATTATACAAAATCGCACTAGTTTGGTCCAATAATATGGATTTCTAATTCACTATATTATTTAGAATCAATTATGTATAATTACTATGCTTTTTTATATTATGACATATTATTTTATGCACTTGTATATCTCCCAATGTGATCTTCTAAACCAGATGTTCACATGATCTGTTCATCTCCATCTTCGTTGCTAAGCCATGAGGCCACAATGCCAATTCACAACGTCATCGTACATGAAAACGCTCGATGATCCCAACCATATCGAATTAGTTCTCGAATAAGAAGTCAAGCCACCCAAAGTAAATCATGATGACGAGTCATGTGAGTTTGACTTTCGGCTAAAGGGACAAACCATCATGTCAAACCATTAGAGCTTAGTTCATATATAATACCTTGGTAAGTAGAGAGAAAGATACCAAGCTTGGCTTATAATACTGATCGTGATTGTCTTTCGGCAAAATGTATAATTTCTAGCTTAATTATCTTTGCACATTGGTTGATAATAGCGTCTTTTTCGATCGAATTATCGATCAGCTTAGTCGGTAAATACTTTGATTGATTGATTAATGGATAATAAATTTTAGAATGTAGTGTAACAAAGAAGTCAAAGTAAACTGAAGGCTTCTGTGGCCAATAAGAGCAACACCAACATTGGCTGTTCTTGTCTTCTCCTTCACTTAAACACTCTTTCTATATCTTCGCCTGCACTTCTACTTTTTCCTTTCCCTTCCCTTCTTTCTATCACCAGCTGCCAAGAACAGCATCATCTGATACGGATGGGAAGCTGAGTTAGAGAGAGATGGATCGAAGACATGGAAAGAGGCCTCTTCCTCCTGACGAGGCGGCACCGGAGGAGAAAGCGGGAGAGCTCTCGTGCTCGCCACTGGCCCGGGCCGATCAGGATGCGTCGGCCATCGTGTCGGCCCTCGCCCACGTGATCGGCTCTTGCTCGCCGGTGGCCGGCGTCGGAGGGGGTGAGATGCGACAAGATGTTAGTGGATCAGGAACAGGCTCGGTGGAGAACAGGACTCAGCCCTCCGAAGAGCAAGGTATGTCGCTCATGTCTCTTGCACTGCTGGCCCACATATGATCTTGGTGGTGGTGGGAGTCAATAGGTTATGAACATAGAAGAACGCGATTGCTTGGATGCGATCATGAAAGTACCGATCGAAAGCCAAGTATTTGATGCACTTTATGCATTGATTTGTGTGTATGTAAATGACAACTTAGGAAATGCGGGACGAAGGCATTATAGGGGAGTGAGGCAAAGGCCATGGGGGAAATGGGCAGCGGAGATAAGGGATCCCCAGAAGGCTGCTCGTGTATGGCTTGGGACCTTCGACACGGCGGTGGATGCGGCCATCGCCTACGACGAGGCCGCCCTCAGGTTCAAAGGCTGCAAAGCCAAGCTCAACTTCCCCGAGAGAGTCCAAGGCCGCTCTGACCTCGGCTTCTTGACACATCGATGGCAAGCTCAGCCGCCGGTGCAACTCCCGGCGACTTCGTACCCGGACTTGCTTCGGTACGCTCGACTCCTCCAGAGTAGGGACGACGACCTGCACAACCGGGCTGTCGGGCTCCACCCCGCGGGAAGCTCCTTCATGTCAACCTCCTCGCACACAACGCCGACTTCTTCTTTGTCTGGGTCTTCGCAGGAGCTGGTGGGTTTCTCACACCATTGGCAGTTGAGGAGCTCTTCTTCTTCGAGCTCGTGGCCTCAGGTTGACCTGCAGGACGAGGACGAAGACTAGAAGCCACCAGGCATTCAAGTGACGACGACTCCTCTTGACTTGGAGTTCGGTGCACCGAGAGGTTTGATCCTTAATTCTCCTCCGTGAAGAACTCGGATCTGAGATCGAAGAGAGATGCAAAGACCTAATTGTGAACTTGTTTGAAGTAGAGACGTTGCAAGTGTACTGCGTCAATGATCAGGAGGGAGAAGTTTATGATGTCCTCATCCGACTTGTTATCGAGTTCATTGTTCCTATCGCATTATCTGGTCAATTCTCAAATAAATCTTAAGTGAAATGAACTGAATTCTATTGTCATTTTATTGCATCCATGTTTATGCAGCCAGTCGTGGTTCGTCTTTCAGGAAATCTTACCATCTCAAGTGTTGAAATGTTACTGCATAGCTTTAATATATATATACACATGAGAAAAGCTATTTATGATAGTATTTAGGCTTAGAGAGACATAAAATATACTTAGATTGCTTTTCATAAGCAAGTTATTGACCACACTAGATTATGTTTCTCATCGTACCTATTATAGCCCTTCATCATGTCATATGCTTAGATTGGAAGCATCCTCGATAAAAATTCCTTTCATGATTAAGTTATAAGTATGACGAACAAAGTCGGTTTGATTATTACATGAGATTGTGATGTGTACTGGAATATCGATCGAACCATCGTGCATTATGATTAGAGTCGAACGCTTATGGTTGACAAGGTGTCGATCGATGCCTTGCTCTTGTGATGGCCAATCAAATGTATTATCTAGTATCCAACCGCAGAATCGAATATGGGACTCACTGGCATGGGTAGGACAGTAGAATAAAGATGTCCAAAGGGAAATGACTAAAAGTGTACGATGGACCAAATTCAAGGAACAATATATATATATACTTGCATGCCATTCTAGAAGACACGTTAGGTTGAGTTCATCAAGCAGAAAAGGAGATTGATGGAGAGAATAAAATAGACGTCATAGGATAGCATGCAGCAGGGAGTGTTGGTCATATTCTAAGGTGTTTGTGTCGTATACTAACCAAAAAGGAGAAGCAGCGGTCTTATGATAGAGAAGAAGGTGGGCAGGAGAAGAGCATGGAATCTGCACTTTGTCAGGGTTTTGTTGGTCATGGAAGTCGGCGACATGTTTCGTGGCAATGAGTGCGTCGACGAATGCGCAGTCTGAGTTATCACAGCACGATGGAGTTCGGCTTCTTTTTTGGTAGAAGGTGGGCAGGAGAGGAAGAACCTCCCCACGCATACACATTACATGAGATCTGACAAGAGATGCATGACTTTTTTCCAACCATAAATTTCAAATATTCTTTGTAAAAAATCACAAATGTTAGAGAAAAAACAAACACAATATTCAAACTCATGATATTTTTTTGATACCATCTTCAAAATATGATTAGACGATTATAAATTTCAGATGCTTCTTTTTGTACATTTACCATGATCACGAGATCTGACTTCTTCCAAACACAAATTTTAATTTTTTTAATAAAAAATATAAATAATTTAAAAAATTCGTGATACCAAATTAAAGATATGATCATGTGACCATAAATCTCAAAAAATGAAGTTATTAGAAAAGAAACCAATATATGTTTTAATGACTTGGCCTTTACTATCTAGTATCAAGGTCTAATTTGTTGATATCTTCAAACATAACACTAATAATTAGTTAAGTTTATGATTATTAAAGAAGGAACACAATATGAAATTCAAAATATTTAAGTAGAATTTGATAAAACTATAGTACAAATTTAATTAAACAAATATACAAACGATCAATCATCATTCGATACATAAACACGCACAGAAGTTTTCATGCAAGAATAAAAGTTCAAAGCATAAGTCACCCTTGTCCATTTGCCCATGTGGACAAAAGTCCAAAGCAAATTATTTGATACTATCTTTCTTCTACTGCCCATATGGACAAAATGCTAAGAGGGAGACGTTAGAGCGACTATAGGTTGTCCTCTCCAAGACCAAGTATAAAAGATAATTCTTGGTATTATACCAGGTGACTCTCTTTTAAGAGAAAAACTTATACCCAAAAAGGATCTTGGACTAACTTGAGTATCAGAGGGATCAAGTTGAAAAATTTTCCTCGACACCAGTCTTAATGCAAGTGACACTTTAGGAGCTCGACACTTCCACCTCAGTCCCACTTCGGAGCCACCTTAGACATACCTCAGAACCACCTTGGAGCCACTTTGGACACTCCTGCGTCCTCAGGTTTCGATCATGTCGGGTTGTCTTAAATGTCGGTGATGATTTTCCCTAATATTTTGGTACTAGAAGGAGGGCCTAATGTTGTAGGAACTTCCACCCATCAATTCCCCTAACGAACGCTCTAACGAGAAGGCATTGCCTCTAACATATAGCACCTGTACTTAAGGGGGGGCAACTTTCATTCTTCCCTCATGTGGACACATTCACTTCACCGCAAACGCTAGTGCGATGCTGGTGTTTATTCAATGACCTGGGCCTTTTACCGATAGGAACGATCTCAAGCCACATACTTATCTCTACCGAGTTGGTTTTGAACCTCACCTAATAGGTACAAACACTAACATGCATGATACAGGCTATCGTCCCACTCCTACCTAAGTTAGCTCAATAAGCAACGCCACCATCTTAATTGTGATCAATACCTCAACTACCACTGGCTCCGTTGCCCATCAAGATTCCCCACCCGATGCGATGCTAGCATCTCAAGATTGCCCAAGGCTTGTGGAACTATTGGTCGAGGGAGCACCTCACTCTCCATTCGTGGAATTCAATGCACTATTGCACCATCGCTTTACTCTACCTGAGTCTAAGACACAGTCAGCGGATTTCATGGATGACTTCCTGAGGATCCAGCTACAATAAATGGGTCAACGTCTAGAAAAGATGCGGCGAGAGTTCTAACAATCCCGAGAGGAAAGGCCCGACGATCTTATCTCAGGTCGATCCTCATTCACTCAAAGCATCCAAGAAGAGCTAATCCCGATGAACTTTCATCTCCAATCATTGGAGGCCTTTGATGATAGTACCAATCCAATAGAGCACACTATTGCCTTCCACACCTAGATGTGGAAGCCTGATGTACCACGCCTTCCTGATAACGTTGAGAGACCCTGCACGAGAATGAACATACTCACTTGTGCTAGTCATAGGTGCCATGCAAGCCAATCATTTGAGTGATGACACGTTTGATTTGACATATAATCTTTTTACTTGTTATTATTATTTGACATTTTATCACTTTATATTGCTTGTTGCTTGAATATATTATAATATCTATGGATCTGTGCAATAAGAATCGGATCGTGATGAAATCATGATAATGGAACTGATTCACCTATAAACACATATCCTAAATAATCCCGGTCATAGGTCACTCAAGAGGGACATTGAGATAACCGGTCAGACTGATGTACTGTATACTCATCCATACGATGGACGTAGCTGGTCTCATAGCTGCTCATGTGGGGACACTAGGGATATAGAACATGTGCTAATTGTAGAATAAGTTCATTAATTGATTCACTTACGGAATGCTGAATAGTTGATGATGTCTTATTATCAGATAGTGATTCTGTAGTCCTAGTGGTATATTTGGTCCTTAGACATGAGATACCAAGGATGTCCTGTATGAGTACTCCACTCTTTGAAACCAGACTTATAGGTCTGGAGGTTCCAGATCTAACATAGCCGGTCATCGGGAGTGGTAGCCAACCTTATAAGGACTATTGAGTGTCGATAGAGGATCATCCGCTCTCGATGTCATGAGAGGAATATCCCATGTGTTCTTGCTCAGACAAATCCCTGGCTACAGTCATTCAGATTGAGAGAGAAAGAGTATTATGGGAGAATCCGATTAGAGCGAGACTCGAGTAAAAACTGTACAGGTCTGACAGTACCATACCCGGGTATATGGTCTTTGAGATATTAGATGGATGAGAGACTATAAGTATATAGTAACTAAGGACAAACATGTTCAATATATTAGATTTTCTTGTATCACTTGGGGACTACGGCGTATTGGCCTAGTACGTCCACAATCAATGAGTCGAGTTAATTATTATGGAGATAACAATTCACTAAGTCAGAAGTTCTAACAGGTATGACTCACGGCCAGCCCGATATTGGACTTAGAGGGTCACATATATATGGTAGACGTTGTGATGAGTAGAGGTTCAGATATGAGATATCCGCTAGAGCCCCAATATTATTGGATATCCAATAAGCCCCTGAATTATTAGATTATATGGATGAGATCCAATAAGAGCCAATGAGAGATTATTGGATATAGATCCACTAATTTAAGAGGTTGGGGTAGTTAGATAGAGATCCAATACCCAATAGGGTAAGATCCATTAGGGTTAAGTTGATATGTGACCTCTATAAATAGGAGGGAACCAATGGTTCATAGGCTAGAGCCTTTTGGGTTGCCACTCCTATTCTCCTCCCATTCTCCTCTTCAGATATCAGGGCTAGAGTTTTGAGGAGCATCATCGTAGCCCTATTATGTGGATCACCACTAGAGAGGAGGACGCTTGACCTCCTTCACCCTCTCCTAGAGATCTGCAGGGATTTAGGGATATATGATCTCCCTAGGTAACACAATCTTTTATATACCCAGTTTTAAGTTTTGCGAATTTTGTGCACCAATTTTCGCACGGTGACAAACACATTTTTGAGAAATAGGGGATTTTATTTCTAATTTTTTTCGCTGCGCATATGATGTCGCCCCCATATTTCCCAATAGTGGTATCAGAGCCAACTTGTTCATGCGAAAGATTGGTTTTAAATTACATGTGTTGTGTTTTAGAAAAGGTTTCTGACGTAAAAATTGTTGATGCAAAAGGCGAGAAAGGGCAGCAATGTTGCTGCCCTTGCTGCGCTCGAAGATGGCAGCCTTACTGTCATCTACATGCAGGCAGGCCACCTGCATTGACGACCGCAAACAGTCGGCTGGCGGTAGGCAAAGCCGCTTGCGGCGTATAGGCAATGCGCTTGTTGCACAAGTGACGACACCCGCGGGCGCTACTTGTGGCACAGCGCTCGCAACGGCACTCGCTCGCGGGTGCGCGGCCCGCAGGGGTAACCGCCCGCACGGGCGGCGCCTAAGGGAGCATCCCCCACAGGCAGAACTACCCGCAAGGACACCCAACCGCAAGGGAGGTGCCACCTGCAAGCACACCGCCTGTGGGCAGGGGCGGCTCCCCCTCCCCCCACCGTAGAGGGCGCCGCTGGTAGGGTGGCGGTAGCCGTAATAAGCAGGAGGAAGGTTAGGGTTTTTGGACAAAAGATATTTTTAACCCTTGGAATTTAAGAAATTCTAATTTCTATCCTTTTATCCAAATCATAAAAATACCCCTTATAATTTAGAAAATTTCTTGTATGTCCCTAATTTCAAAAAATAATAATTAATTAAAAATTTTAATTGATTATTATTATTTTAATTATCTAGTAGTCCTACATGATGATGATATGTACATGTGATGTATGATATGTGGATGGATGATCATGGACCGTGTAATGTGTGTGTACTTGTGATTATTATTATTGGGGCCTACAAGCCTCCATTTTATTTCTCGTTTATTGTCAGACTTATGTGCCTATGATTAAGTTGTAATCACATGAGGAGGCATAGTAAGAGCGTAGAAGCGATAGTGGGATCCACGAGATGGATGATTGCGATGCATGGAGATGCTGTCATAACCGACGAGGACGAGATGTATGATCATCGGACATAGAGATGCACTACTGCACACATAAATCTTGATGTGAGTGATTAGGCCCACTAGCTCGGACTTGATCACATTAGGTTGTGGTCTATGATCATCTTGTATGATTGCTCATGTGAAGTGTGATTGCTTATACACATACTAGATATATGTATGTATCTATATATATATGTATGTATATATATATATATATATATATATATATATATATATATATGTATATATATATATATATAATATATATACATATATGTATGTATATATATATACATATATGTATGTATATATATATACATATATGTATGTATATATATATACATATATATATATACATACATATATACATATATATATATATATGTATATATACTAATACATATGTATATATATATATGTATATATATATATATGTATGTATATATATATATATGTATG